GGTTGATGTACATCTTGGTAGGTCACTCAGGTGCTGTGTGGTCCAAGGCAGAGTGGGATAGAAATTCACATTGTCCCTGTGCAATTGACCAGAGAAAATGTCCACTGGTCATTCCCAGATACCAGATGTCTCTATCTACTAGGCTTCCATGTACGGAGATCCACATACAACCCATGGACAGCTCCTGACACATCTGTGTGGTGATTTTCTCTCTATGGTTATGTGAGGGACTTTTTAATAAGCTACTTTCTCTTTACTATGTTCCCTGGACTGGGCATGTAGCTATGTGTCAACATGATCATGATTCAGTCCCTAGCTCTGTTTTCAGAGGAAATAATAATCACTAATAACTGTGACTACTTTAGACCAAAGCTATATTCTAATAAAATTTGGAAAACCTATTGAAAATGACTTCTATGACTCCAGAAATCCAAAAGTGAAAATGGGGATAATGCTGTATAATAGGCTGAGAAATTAGGTATTAAAGAAAATAAGTTACTACTATGCTATATAGGGCATGAAAAATAAAAATAAAATTGGGAGATAGAGATAGGATCAGATAATGCAAGAAGAAAAAGAGGCAAAAGAAGACAGCATATGGGGCTGGGGATGTGGCTCAAGCGGTAGCGCACTTGCCTGGCATGCGTGTGGCCCAGGTTCGATCCTCAGCACCACATACAAACAAAGATGTTGTGTCCGCCGAAAACTATAAAATAAATATTAAAAAATTCTCTCTAACTCTCTCTCTCCCTCTCTCCCTCTTTCTTAAAAAAAAGAATACAGCATATGAACATGAGAAAGGAAAACAGAATAAATCCAACCAATGCTTTAAAAAATTAAAAGTAAAATAAATAAAACTAGATTAAGGACTGTAATGACAAATTATAGGGGGAATCTATCATATCAGTACAGAAGATAGTATATGTGAAATAAACATTAGAAAGTTTCACATTATTCCATATTTGGGTTTCATCAGGTTTTGGGATGGTTAATACATACCCACACCTCCATGGCTTTACCTCTACATTTCTCTTGGTAGCAACCTCACCAGCCCACCTATAACACAAATGTAAGAAGCTCTGTCCTTTCTTTGGTGTTTCTGGGCACCTAATAGCTTTCTGTATGGTTGGAAGAAACAATTGTTAATTGTCTGAGGCTTAATGGCCAGGTTTCTCCCTATAGAAATGCTTCATGTACCTGGAGTTGTCAAAACAGTCTTGACGTAATCCATATAGATTTCAGGGTGTGTGAGGTGTGGTGGCCGACAGTAGAGGTATGATGATCCAGTGATAATGATGCTGGTGACCTGTGGGAGGTGTGGGACAGTTGTTTTTGGCTGGGACATGTGATTTGGTGTGCCTGCATCTAGGCACAGTTGGTGGTGGTAGTTGTCTTTTGTGGATTCCTTGTGGCATGTGCAGTGCTGATGGACATGGGCTGCTTCTGTTGTCTACTGGGACTCACACAACTTCTGCTGAGAGTGATCCTGTGTCTAGGTGTGCTAGGCAGTGGGCAGTGTCTATTGGATGTAAGTTTGCTGTTGCCTCTGTGATACATGTGGCACTGCTGGGGTGTAGGCAGCTTCTGTCAGCTACTGGGGACACCTTGGGTATACTCAGTGGTAGCTAGCATCTGTGGTACATGTGGCACTACTGGGACCTGGATGGGTTCTGCCACCTTCTGTAGCTTGTGCAGCTATGGCCAACACCTAAGGCACTTGCTGCTCTCCAGGTGCTATACTCCCTAAGAGTGACTTGTTCTCTGTTCCACTCTACCTTAATCTTCTTGTAAGCAGTGGTGGGAGGGGTATTTAGCCACCTTGAACTAATAGCAATCTCTCTACACAGATTACTGGGACAGCCTATTTCAAAGAGATTGGCTATGATAGTATTTGCTGCTATTTCTAGAAGGGATGAAACTATAAATTTAATTAATTTTGAGGAGGCAGGCTTGGATATGGTCCCTACAAAATGACTGCCTGCCAGTTTTCTACCAACAATTTCAGATAAGCTGTGCACTTCTCCCTCACTAAGTGGCTTTGCAGCTCCTTCACTGTATTAACTCAGTCTGGCTTTCTTTTTCTAGTTTCTGAAGTAAGCTTGTTAGTTTTTCACCCCTTATTTTTCCCTTTCCTGTCACTCTCCCCTGACCCACTCTGGTCAAGGTTTGCGGTTAATGATTTCTTTCCTATTTTTTGTTCCAGCAACAACAATTTCTGAGTCCCCACCCAAGTTCCTGACTATCAGATATTGTGTTTTAGTGTATTCTATTTAACGCCTACCTCTCTGACCAGATATTCTCTCACTGCTTTGAATCCAGTCTACAGAAGAGTCAAAATTTTCTGCCTAGTTCCATTCTGCCACCTTGTAGCCCCTTATTTTCCTTTTAATAAACTCCCTTTCTGCTCCATCAGCTAAAGCTGTCTTCTCATATGTACACTTAAGACTGTATGCACCCAACTAATAATGCTGGTAATACCTCCAGCCCCAACCTAACCCTGAGATTCATGCTTATATATACACATGCCTTACATTTCCTCTTGGTAATCTCACAGGTATGGAATCAAACTATGAACTAGCTCTATAATCTTGAGTAGCTTCATTCTTTCTGACTGTTTGGTTTTCTATAAAAATGGGAAAATATTAATACCTACTTCATAAGATTACTATAATGACAAAGTGAGAAACATGGATGTCGAAATATCATAAGCTGAAAATGCAATATAGATTTTAGTTATTATTGTTGTTTTATTGTAAAACAGAATTCATAATATTATAACTTATTTTATAGTGATTTATTATTGAATGATGGGGGCACCCTGTTTTTTTTTTTTTTTACCACTTATATAAGTAACTTGCAACTACTTTTTCATCCCTGGAAAACAAATTTTACCAAATGTAGCTGAATCTGCCAACAATATATAATTTTCTCTTTTTTGGATATTGCCTCAAAACTCTTTGTACAGCACAGGCATACTCTATTGAATAATTTGAACAAACAAAAATAATTTGAGAGTTGGGAAAAGAAAAAGGAGGTGGAATGGGCAGCCAAATAAAAATAGATATTTCTACAATGTAGACTTCATAGACATAAAAAAGGAAACTGATGCAAAATACTTTGAAGTCTCAAGGAAACAAAACTAAGAAGAAGATCTTGTCATAAAACAGTCTATCTAGGCTGCAATCATTGGAGTGAATACATGTAACTACTGACAATGTACTTGTTACTTTTCTTGAGATGCAAATATAATGTAAGAAATATCTACTGGATTGGCCTGACTTGGCTAGCATGACAACTCCTTGGCTAGGGGAGGGCTTAGTCCAATTATACTATTTCCTTTTTTGCTTTCAATGTAGAATTTACAATGTATTGTGTTGAATTCTCAGTAAATATACAAAATATACAGCTATAAATATATAAATAGATATTAGTACCAGCAAGTAACTTAAAAAATACTGATGAACAAAAAACCAAAATAATAAGAAATTAAAAAATACTGATGACAAGAGAATATTTGAGTTTTAGTACTAAATTCCTTTTGTTGGGCTGGGGATGTGGCTCAAGTGGTAGTGCGCTCGCCTGGCATGCGTGCGGCCCGGGTTCGATCCTCAGCACCACATACAAAGATGCTGTGTCTGCCAAATACTGAAAAATAAATATTAAAGTTCTCTCTCTCCCTCTTTATCACTCTCTCTCACTCTTTCTTTAAAAAAAATAAATAAATTCCTTTTGTTCATTATGGAAATAGGAATTGAAATGTAGATGAGCTAGCCAGGTAAGACAATATCTTAATAGGTTCTTCTATGTTCTATCACTATAGCATATTCTTTCAACCTCAGGACTATTGACTTTGGGGTCAGATATTTCTTAGTTGCAGGGGGATATCATGTACATTATAGAGTGTTTATAGTAGCATTCCTAGCCTCTACTTCTTAGAGATCAATAGCATTCCCTGACCTCTAGTTGTAACAATCAAACATGATTCCAGATATCACCAAACATCTTAGAGTTGGGGATAAAGTCACCACTGGGTATGAACCACTGAGATACAGGTAAAACTACAAAACACTGTGTATTAAGAAAAATATTTATGAAGATATCCCCTTTATCTACCCTGAGGTTGAGGCAATCAATAAAGAATACGCAAAGCTTTGTTACCTAAGTGATTAAGAAATTCATGTTCTACAGAGCATTATATACCAGGAGGCAAGAGCAAACCTAGTGCTACAGTAATAACAGGACAGCATCACTGAAAATAAGAAAATGTAGGCCACAGAAATTATGACACTAAAAATTCCATAAAGACTCTGTAATTCACAGCTAATGTTGCAGCAATAACACTATGACATTGTTAGTATGTTGCATTAACTGAGAATATGTCAATATAACTGGGTTTTCCAGTGAAATACTTAGGAATGTTACTTTTTTGTGGAACATACTTTAGGATAAATAGACTAGGCAGAGGATTCTGAGTTTGCACATTCACAAAATATTCTCTAACCACAGTCCCTGAGAAATAGTCCAGAAATACATATCAGATGTGACTTTCAAAAACATTTCTTTGTCAATGTTTATAGCAGCACAATTCACAATAGCTAGACTGTGGAGCCAACCTAGATGCCCTTCAATGAATGAATGGATAAAAAAAATGTGGCATATATATACAATGGAGTATTACTCAGCACTAAAAATAATAAGATCATGGCATTTGCAGGGAAATGGATGGCATGAGAGCAGATTATGCTAAGTGAAGTTAGCCAATCCCCCCCCCAAAAAAAAAAAAAACAAATGCTGAATGTCTTCTCTGATATAAGTGGGGTAACTCAAAATGGGGTAGGGAAGAAGATCAGGGGAAGAAGATTATCTCTACACAGGGAAGAGGAGTGGGAAAGAAAGGGAGGGAGAAGGGAAATTGCATGGATGATCGAAGGAGACCCTCATCGTTATACAAAACACATGTATCTGACTGCATGACCAATATGATTCTGCAAACTGTACACTCAGAAAAATGAGAAATTATATCCCATCTGATTCAAATATATGATATGTCAAGGTCATTGTACTGTCATGTGTAACTAATTAAAACAAATAAAAAAATATGGTAAAAAAAACCCTAAAATTTCTTTGGCCATTAGCTAGCTGACTGATTATACACTTGTCCATAATATAATTTTCAAGTAGTTGAGAATGCATATATCATTATATACTGAGACAATGTTAGTCTCATAATGTTGCTCATATACTGATTATCACAGTGATCTGGACTATATTAGTCCATTATTGAAAGCTCAATGCATAATTAATATTGGATGAATCATTTTAAAAAGTCTGTTGTAGGTCTTACATACGTCCCATTTCCAACATACTTAAAAAACTATTTATACATCACATTTCTGTTTTCCTTTCATGAATTTTCCATTACTTGCAGAAAGTCATAGCATGGCCTTCTCAGACACTGTCTTTATTTGATAGTTCTCTAGGAAAGATGGTTGATACTTTTCCCTTTTAAATTCAACACTATACTCCAACATTCATATATTTAAGCTATCTAGAAGGACCAATCATTAAAGTCTCCTTAAGAGGAGGAAAACTATATTTCAGAGTCCAATGAACTTTCAGGCATTAACTTTCAGAAAGATTATAATCCAAATTTGGAATACAAAAAAAGTTCTATAATAAGAGAAGCATTAAAGTGAAAGTAACTGTCAGATAGATTTAAGATCTTTCTTTAATTATAGAATAAAAGGGAGCCTCTGTAACCAAGAGGTATTTTGTGTATGTAGGTTATACAGCTTAAGATATTATGTAGTGATTTTTAAATTATCAAACATGAAACTCAGACACAGTACCTAGAAATGAGTCCACAAACTATGTAGGGCTAATATCCTTTTTGTTAAACTCTTTTGTCATTTTAAATACCTCTGTGAAACTTGCCTGGTTACTTCTATGTCCCAGGACATAGATCTTGTCTGAATATCTGATGATTCACAGTTATCTGACATCAGCATTGGTCCTGGCATACACCTAGAACTTTCTTGTGATGAAGGAAAAAAGAGAAATAACTGAATGAAAATTTGTACATCAATGTGTTATCATTTTCACCAGTGAATTTTACAATTATTTTATCTTCCAGTAGAATCTTTCTTTTTACCCTGACACTTAGAAGTTCTATTCACTGAAATATGAAAAAAGAATTAATATGTAGTCATCTCTCAGTAACTGGGAGTCTTGGTTCCAGGACTGCCCACCCAGGGATAGCAAAATTGATGGATGCTCAAATCCCTTATATAAACTATTTCAGTATTTGCATATAACCTATGCACATCCTCCCATGCACTTTAAGCCATCTGTAGATCATTTATAATATTTAATTCAATGTAAATGCTATAAAAGTAGTTGTTATCCTGTATAGTTTAAGGAATCAGGACAAGATGAAAGTCTGTACATGTTCAGTATAGACATGATTTTTAGAATATTTTTGATCTTTAGTTGGTTGAATCCATAGATACGGAGGGCTGACTGTTGTACAGTGATGGATTAGATGTAAAAACTAAGGCCTTGAATTGCAACTCTGTCACTTCCTTGCTCTGTAACTGTTGACAAATTATATTCATAAAATTTTATTTCCCTGTATATTAAATAGAGATACTAATTCCTGGCAAAAGTTAGGCAAGACTATTTTTTAATTCAATCACTACAAAAATGAAAGCTTTTAACATACGGAGAAACTGAGTTGTCTGGTTCTGTAAATGGTAAGAACCATGACCAGGTAATACTTGTGGCTAGTTGAAATGAAAGAGGAAGAGCTGAATGGAACAAGAAAACCAAGAGATAATGGCATCATGGAAACCAAGAAAACTGAATGTTTAAAAAAGTAGCATGGAGACTGGGGTTGTAGCTCATTGGTGAAGCTTGCCTAGCATGTGTGAGACACTGGATTTGACCCTCAGCACCACCTAAAAGGAAATAAAATAAAAAGTAGCATGGTAGACTGTCTCAGGTCAGGTAAGGATATCAAAGTATCCATCAAATTTAACAACATGGAGATCTTTTAATAACCTCTGTGGAGTTGGTAGTATCAGAAATATGACTAAATTATTACTAAGAAAGTAAATATGGGTAGAGTAGCCTTTTTAAATGAATAAGATTAAATGATAGGTCAGTCAGGAATCTGCCTATAAAGTAGTCCCTAAGGAGAATGTTTACAATTTATTGTAATGTTTACAATTTATTCCACATATATTTTAGCTTATATTAGAGGATGAACTCTTATGGACTTCCCAACTAAAAAATCCCTTAGTCCAGGTCCCATGTAAGTCACCAATGGGCCCTGCTACTTAGCTGTGTAACTTCAGGAGAATCAGTTCACCTTATATCAGTTTGCTCATCTATTAAGTGGTAAAAAAGTAGTACCTGCTTCACAGGGTTGTTATGTAGATTAAAGAAAAGATGCAAGCACTGTGCCAAGCAGCATGCCTCACACATAGTAAATGATCAAGAAATGTTAGCTATGATTATAAGAGAGGAAAGAAATTGGCTAAATTAAGATTATGTAACTAAAATCAAAGTTCTTCTAACCTAAATGATGTAGTAAAGCCATATACGACTTTCTTTCTTTTCCATTTTACTCACCTTTTTATAAAATATTTATTTTTTAGTTATAGTTGGACACAATAACTTTATTTATTTATTTTACGTGGTGCTGAGGATTAAACCCAGGGCCTCACGTGTGCTAGGTGAGCGCTCTACCACTGAGCCATAACCCCAGCCCATTTTACTCACCTTTCTCTGGTAATCTCTTATCCAATCATTTTCTTTCTCAGATAAAATTAGAAAAACTTCCCTGTAATATAAAACCAGTTGAAAGCTTACTCTCATGAAATTTGCATCTTACCTGTCTAGCTGTGGCTGACACACAAGTGGCATTTTCACTGGTCCTACCAATTTCACTGAAGTTAGGCAAAAGTTTTCAATGGGGTATCTGTAACTATAAAAAGCAGATATGATGATAATGTTTTGTGGGCAGGGGACTCTCAGTTGTTCTCCATCACATTCCTGAGTTGTATGGTTCTAGGGAATAATAGATAATGGATCAAAATTACATATAATTCCCAAAGGATTTCTAGCATCTGCTTAAGCACTTTCAATAATAGGGAAGCGTTTTCACTGTTGCAACCAAAAGACCTGACAAGAACAATTTCAGAGGAAGACAACTTTATTTGGGGCTCACAGTTTCAGAGGTCTCAGTTGATAGATGGCCAACTCCATTGTTATGGGTCTGAAGTGAGGAAGAACATCATGACAGAAGAGTATAGAGAAAGATAGCGGCCCAGAACATGGTACCAGGAAGCAGAAAGCTCTGTTCACCAGATACAAAATATACACCCCAAAGGCATAGCCCCAATGACCTGCCTCCTTCAGCCATACCTTTCCTGTCTTCAGCGGTCACTTATTAATTCCATCAGGGGATTAATGTACAGATTAGGTTAAGACTCTCATAACCCAATCTTTCTCCTTTAAACCTTGTATTGCCTCACACATGAGCTTTTGGGGGAAACCTCACATCCAAACCATGAAAACTCCATGATTTCTTGAAATTCTCTTTTGTTCTTGCCCCCTCTTCCCTCCAAGTAAATTTACTGATATTCTTTCATTTCCCCAACCCTGCACCTTCAAAATCCAACCTTTTTGAATTTCTGATCCAATCCTGACTAAAGATGTAGAAAACCTACTATACTAAGCTTTATTGCAAGTGTTATCTAATTTAACGCCCCAGCATCCCCTATACAGTCAGAAAAGTAGTTGTGCAGGTTAAAAATCTAACTCAGGAAAACAGCTGTAAAAGCTCAAAATTTATTCTAAGTCAGGGAAACAGTTGTAAAATCTTGAAATTTATTGTTAGTGGGATAAAAATTTAGAGCCCAGAGTTCATTTATTTGCCTTTCCCTTCAGGACTCAGGGTTACTGGGAAAGGATAAAAACCCAGAGCTTGGGGCTGGGGATGTGGCTCAGTGGTAGAGCTCTCACCTGGCATGCGCAGGGCACTGGGTTCGATCATCAGCACCACATAAAAATAAGATAAATATGTTGTGCTCACCAAAAATTAAAAAAAATAAATATTAAAAAATTATCTCTGGGGCTGGGGATGTGGCTCAAGTGGTAGCGCGCTCGCCTTGCATGCGTGCAGCCCGGGTTCGATCCTCAGCACCACATACCAACAAAGATGTTGTGTCCGCCAAGAACTAAAAAGTAAATATTAAAAATTCTCTCTCTCTCTCTCTCTCCTCTCTCACTCTCTCTTTAAAAAAAAATTATCTCTTTCTCTAAAAAAAAAACAGAGCTTGGTGCATTGTTACCCAGAACTTCCCTATTTGCTTTTCTTCTTCCAGGACTTATGGGCAATGGGAAAGGGTGAAAGTCTAGGACCGAGTGTCAGTATTTGCCTCCTCTCTTCAGGACCCATTGTCACTGGGAAGGGATGAATGTTTGCCTTCTTCCCCACTCTCTCCTCCTGGACCATACTGTCTTCTTTCTCCCTAATGGTTGTCATCCCAGCTAAAACCCCATCTCTAGATGTAAAAATAACAGGAGGACCAGTTCTCAACTACTCCTCAGATGCTATAAAAGCTACATCATTTTGTTGTTTGCTTGAGTCAAGCTCACACACTGTCAGAGCTGTGACTCCCTTTAGGATCCAGCATAAGTCCTGAAATGAAGTCTAGACTGTGCTTAGATTCTCTCTCGGTAGAGTGTTCATTCCTCCACTTTGATGTTCATGGGGTCAGTTAGAGATTAGTGCCTGGAAGACAAACAAAATCAATTTTCAATTGATTCTTTCCAATCAATTGAAACCACAGAATGAACACAGATATACCTTTAATTTAAAAAGTGGCATCACAGGCGCTGGGGCTCAGCAGTAGCACACTTACCTGATATGTGTGAGGCACTAGGTTTGATTCTCAGCACCACATATAACTAAATAAATAAATAGAACAAAGGTCTATCAACAATTAAAGAAATACTTTTAAAAAAGTGGCCTCACACTCAAGTATAAATCCGGCTCCCCAAGCTTACTATGGCATTTCCTTGGTGATATTTACAGATTCTGCTTGGCAAATTTTAATCAAACTTTTGAAATTTCTCCTAGGGCCATCTGTGCAATTCCTTAGACATTTAGTTTTAGCAAAAAACCTTGCTAAATTTACCAAGAATCCCCCTCCATATCTGATCACGCTCCACACATGATCAGGATTCTTATCCCTCAGCCTACCTCCAGGTAACCTCTAATCACTCTGGCTTGCTTTCAGCAAGAATTCGTTAAGTCTTAGATAGAATTCCATTTACCCCTGATGTTTCCTCTTAGTAACTATCCATCCACAGACTCAAAAGGACTATAAAATCCAATGTACACATGCTGTATTTTGAGTTGAGTCCACTTTCCCCCACTGCAAAATACCGGTGCACTTGTATTTATGCTCACATCCTAAATAGTCATCCTTACCACATTTTGACAAGCATTCCGTATATTTTTCTTTTTTAAATGCAAACCATGATACGCCAAGAGTATTTTGAAGAACAATGTGAAGTGCAACTTAGCTAGGAGCCAACTTCCTTTGCAAACCCTACATCCTGAATCCGCCATTTTTGCTCAAACCAACCAAGCATGGAGGGGCGGGGCCGGGTTACGAGAACTTCCGGGCACGCCTACGTGGGCAAAGGTCCCGGCCAC